TTTTTTTTTTGCAAAAACTCCAAATAACACGCTCAAATACATAAAAAATAAGCACTTATAATTCGAGAGGTAGGTGATCTCTCCCAAACCCTAACCCTAAGTCTCACAACCACAATCTTATGCATAACCCTAACCTTAAGATATTAGTCATATTTATACTAAATAATAATAAATGACAAATGACTAAATTGTCTTTAAGCACCAACATAACAGAAACTTACGTTCACTATTTTGATATGCGCATGAAGATTCCCTTTAGAGCCAAGATTATATCTTCGCTCACATGCCTCAACACATAAATAAATAAATAAGGTGACCAAACAGATGGTGATTTGTTGGTTGGTAGCTTAGGCGTAAGTCCCCTCTGTCCTGGATTCGAATTCATCTAGGTTGAATTATCACATATGGGGTGGACAAGCACATGTTGTCATCCATCTTTTTATATATATATATATAGAGAGAGAGAGAGAGAGAGAGAGAAAGAGAGAGATTTCTCCTCTGAGAAAAGAATAATTATTTTCTAAGTTTTATTTTGATGCTTACTACTTCATAGAATATTTAAAAGCAAAACCAAATCATTAAAATCTACAACACAATAATTATATATGAATCAAGGTTTCAGAAGTTGAAAAATCACAAATAATTTTCTCAACAATCGAGCCATTCATCAAGTACATTTTCATAAATATATCAAAAACTCATAAAAACTATTTAAACTATGCAAAATTTACATGCTTACCACACAATTCTTATACATTTACTGATGAAACACCCAAAGTTTCATATTTACACTTATAACACCTTGTTGTCATAAACCTATACATGAAAATGTGTATTTCACTTAGCGATGATGGTATTTCTGATGCGATGTTAAAGATTTGAGCAGCATGCAAGTAAATATGAATGTTTAGGTATTATATAGATAATCAGATGAAAATTGATGGTGTATAAGTAAATGCCCCTAAAGCTATATCTGCCGCTAATTTTAGTAGTAATAAAAAGACTAAATGACTTTGACCTTACATTTAAAGGTCGTACATCATAAACTAAATGGAGAACCAGCAATCCACAATACACAGAATAGTCAGTTGGCGCACAAAAATTTCAAAATGTTCAAGATCAAAACACCATTAAACCAAAGCAATGAGATATCGCCCAATAAGAATTACAAATCACTGATATCTAAAAAACAGTATTTATACTTAAGAAAAATAACTGTGCAGCCAAACGAGTAATAAACCAAATCTGGTAACCTTAGACTGAAATGAAATGCTCTGATGTTCAGAGTACAGAAAACAATTTACCATAAACAAAAATAATCACTCATCATCTTCTAATCGAAAGGCTCCACACCATGGAAACCAGCACCACAGAACAAAGTCTTAACTCACCCAGCAAAACAATTGTGGCCAATTATCAAGCGCTAATGGCCCAAATAGAACCATGTCTTCTAACAGAACAAGAAAAATACAGTACTCCAATATAACTTGAGCAAGGTAAACAAAACAATCTAATATGAATAAATAAAGGCTAAAAATAGTTGCCGAATCCTTAGCAACTCACCTTTGTTCAACCCCCCATCAGAAAGCTAATGAAAAATCTCCTTTCCCAGCTCTCTAAAGTGCCTGATCAATTGGTAGAACAGAAACCGACAATTTTTGGATTTGAAAGCTGCACTAACAACACCATGATACTTTCAATTATCAAGACTCTGCGGGTGAAGATTTTAGGCAGCAGAACCATTTTCTCTGCAGTAATAAAGTGTTATAAATAAATTAGCCATAAAATTTGAAACAGCAAAAGCTAAGTTAGAATGACTCGTTCTTTTTCATTTTAGCAAATGACATATAAGCTTCCAGTTGTAAGTTTGGTAAGCATAAATTATAGGGCCATTTACATACATACCATAAAATACTTACGTATTTACATGTCTCATACCTAAAATTTCATATTTACACACATCACACTCAAATCTTTAATATCAAATCAAAAAATAACACTACTATCATTTTTTAAAAAGTAAAATACACATTTTCATGCATAGATATAAAGCACCAAAGTGCAATGTATGTAAAAATGAAGTTCAGGTGTGAAATATGTAAAAATATAAGAACAGTGTGCTAAGCATGTAGATTTCCCTAAATTATAAGGGAAAGTGCAACTCACTGAGCTACTAGGCGACTTGGAGGTTGCATGGGTGGTTTTCTGTTGGTCAGACAGTTCATTTGCTGGAGGGTTGGATCCTTGGTTATTGCTGCTGGTCTTTCGCTCATCCCTAGCTTTATTGAATATTACAGTAAAGCTGTCGGCAGAGGAAGGATCATTGACATCCCATTCACCAAATTTCGGTAGCGGTCGGCCTGTGTCCTGCTTGAAACCGAAATTTTAGCTTCTCTTCAAGAATATCAGCTAAAATCAGAATTTAACAAACTTAAACAAGTAAAAATCATAACTATTACACCCCCATAAGAACAATTCAAATTTTTAACTTCAAGAATTTAAACTTAAAAAGAAAACTTTTAAGTTGGCATTAAATATTTTAATAATGATACTTAAGTGACAGATAGACAAGGAAATTGTCAGGTAGCCAGCCAAATAGGAATAGAATGATCTATTACCTGAGATCCTGATTTTGAAACAGAAAATTGGCAGTTTTCTATTTGTAAAGTTTTCAGATAATATAATATAGAGAGGAAAGGTGATAAAGAGCCCACACGGAACTGAATCCACAAAGCAATTTGAAAAATACAACTGAAAGGCTGTCCTAATGAATCCCCGGAGAAACAAATTTGAAAGAAGCAAAATACAAACCACTAGTTAATAAAGAGAGTTAAATTAAAACGAATGATAAAAAATATTGAAACTTGTTATGCTTCCAGGACTCATGAACCAAATAAACCCATGATATACCACAATTGCAGCATTGGCTTGCATTTAGGCTTAGTTTGACCTATCGGTGAAGCTCCATTCTGTTCAGTGTGACGCTGTTGCCTCAAAATATTTCGTTTGTTAAACCCGTGTCTCACAAAGTTATATCAGCAAAACGACTAACTTTGGACATTGTGGATCGCGCAGGGTGGCTCCATCCGCGGAAGCGACTTTTGAAGAAGCTTTGCCAAACGGCGAAGCTCCCTCTAACAAAGCCTTAAGTATGATGCAAATCAGAATTTAAGCATAATTGAATTAGAATGAGGCCGGGTAAGTGATAATATTATAGCATCTTAAAAAGAAGAAATCATTAGAAACAACGAGAAGTAAGAAGGCAAGGATAAAACTCATGGGACAGTTTTTTTTTTTTTGCTTGTTATCCATGACTGAAATAAATAAAATACACATTAAATTTTACTTCATGTTAATCTTACCATTTCCATGTTTCCCAACGTGCTAATATGCACTAGTTCTTTTGATTACAGAAGTTTAAAAAAAATGTAATGATTGACATTGTTTTTGGTTAAATTTCCTTTAAGAATGTGCTTCGGTTGTATCTGTGTCATCTTCATTTAGTATCCCTTTTACTTTAGACCAGTTTTAAATATTATTAGAATACTTAGAAAATTGAATAAGTTACTATCATCATTTAACAATATTAAAAAGTTAAAAAAAAGAAATAAATAAAATAGTTGCAACCCCAAACAGCAAATGCTAACAACAATTTTAGAGTTATTTTATGAAGTAACTTTTAGTTAGGGGCAATACTAACATAAACCCACCTTTCTATGAAATATTAAGGCCATGAGATAAATAAAACAAATTTGCTCTTACTTCAATAATGGTCGTTGTCTAGAAACTACAAATCTAAATTGAAAAGGTAATTATTGTATAAAAACTTTAATAGTATCGTCCATGTTTAAGGTCCTACTCTTTAAGCAAATTTTGTAGAAGTGTTTATTCATCATCAGCTTCTAAAACATACGCCTTGCCCATTCTCTTTGCATCTAATAGAATCCATTCAATCCTGTGGCATCTAACAACAAAGCAACATCATAGAAGTCAAAACAACAATCAAAATACTAGAATAATTTTATACGATCAGTTTTTATAAGCACCCAGCATATCTATGAACTTAGTAATGAGATTTGCAAGACATTGGAGAAGATTAGTTGAAATATGTATTAGAAAATGCCACACTAATGAAGCTTAGGAAAAACAATTTTAAGAGTAACTCTATGTTTTATGTGGTGATCATGCAAGTTATGTTAAAAGCCCAAATTTGTGGACTTTCAAAACCTTTAATAGGTGAAGTGCTAGGAAGTTAGAGCCAAACGGAATCAATATTGTGCTCAAAACTCCAATACCGTGTGCCAACTAGTAGGGTTTAAATTGGATTGATCAAATTGATTCACTTGGATCCAATCCAAATAATTTTCAATTTATATCAAGGTTGACGCAAATCCGATTCATGACACTTGTTGATAAAGTTAATGGATCAAATTTAGGGTCAATCCAAAAGTGCATGAACTCCCATGGCAAGAGAAAGATATGCCATTGAACTCTATGTAAACAATTGAGAAAGATATTTCTTAATGATCTTGGTGATGCATATCCTTTTTTGGGCAACATATTTATCTTAATCCTATCAAGGAATCAACCGAACTTTAAGTTGTGCTTTCTAGGGTTGATAGATACTATAACCATCTAAGCACTATAGATACTATGACAAAATAATAGAAATTTAATAAGATGACCGAATCCCTAAAGCGACTGAGAGATGATCTGATATCAGTGAAAATTACAATCTTGATGTGCGATGCAAAGTTTTTGCAGCGATAAAACAAGAAGAATGTTCGTCTACAAAGTGGTGAATTCGAAGAGCATCAGAGACTATAGTTAATGCTCTATACATGTGGTCTACATGGAGGACTAAAGAAAAAGGAGAAGAGTGGGCTTGGCGATTGGCATTGCAGTCTGGATAAGCATTATTGTGCTTATATTGTTTGGCAATGTGTAATACCCAATTTTTTTTAAAAAGGTGCCGTTACAAATACCTAAATTTTAACTTTCTCAAAATTCATTAAAAATCATTTCATTATGTTCTACTCATCAAATTGATCATTCTGATATATAGAATTACAGCTTAATTTGCAAAAATGAGAAGTTATTGAATTAGTTACCGTTTTGATAAATTTTCCTAAAATTTTTATTTAAAACTACGGTTCGCCTACCGTTCCTGGTTATTGTAGTGTAAGTGGAATTTTCAATTTTTCCGCTTATCAACATATGCAGCGGATGATTTAAAATTTAAGGGCTGTGATAATTCAACTAATATAAAGCTAAGTAATGAACCTGCCTATATTACCCATCCTTATTCCCAAATACTGGCATCCCGTGAGATTCGGTGCTGGGGAAACAAAGATCTGGAAAGGGAAACCAGAGAAGGGTAGAAGAAGGGAAGGAAGAGAGAGAAAGCGGAAAGGCAAGAAAGTTTTATCTTTTTTTTTAATCTAAATTTAGATTTTTTGGGATATTTTTGTATATATTGATTAGAATTCAGTATTGTAAGCATTTACTCTTTTATGAATAATGATTTTGTGCTTGTTTACAGAAGGAAGAGATTTCGAGGGAACTTTTTCGACGGAGTGAATCATGAAATGGATAAGATTTAAAAATTTTAATACAGAAAACAAATTCAACCTTTTACACATATATATACATAAATGTCTGGAAATGCACAGCATAAAGTCTTGTTAGTATGAGATGTTTAATTACAACTTCCTGTTCATGAATAAAGAACCACCTAAAAATTTGGTGGATACAAGCTTGCAAGTGCATTTTGAATATATAAATACTTTGTTAATTGGCAAAATTGTTGAAAGAAATCATCTGATTTATGTAAGTCATTCATTTGTATATGCAGTTCTTTAATATATTTGAACAAGGATCACATGTTTATTGAAATATTTACACATGTTTATTGAAATATTTAATTATGAAAATGTATGAAGCTTCAGAAAAGTATGTTATGAGGAGTACGTTGGCAGTGATATTTTATATACCTGCGTGGGTTTGGGCAAAAAGGTCACTAATAGAGCAAAAGGGTCTTCTATAGAGGCAAAAGGGTCGTCAAGCTAGTTCAATAACAATGTTAGATAAAGTAGCTTTCGGGTTGAGTGGTGATGGCCAATAACCTAAATTATTGTACAAGACATATTCCAAAGCTGAATAACATACAAATCCATGAGAAATGATTAAGTAAGAAAATTGAATATGTTTAGATTCCTGTGTAATTATCTTATTGTTTACTGATACGAATATTCATTTCAAATTTCATGTATTAGCTATTACATAAACATACAAATCACGGGCGCTCACTTTTACGTTTTGGTATTTTCATGATTAGCATTCATGTAGTTTATTTTTCTTTAGTATTTGAATTATGGATTACATTTATTTATCTTGCATAACCTCATAACTCATTAGATGATTATATTATTTTTACATAAAGGGAGAAAGCAAATATTGAGACCGAGTAGGATAGAGTTCATTTTGGAATTTTATTTTGTTGTGCATTTATTGTAAGATATAAATTTTTTGAGGTAAAACAGTAGATAAGTTTATGCTTTATGTTATAGGTTTTAGATGCACTGTAGATTTGTTTTAATGATATATTTTGGATTGCTTCCTCTTAAAACAAAATATTAGAGTATTTGGAATATGTTTATATCATTTCAAGTGAATTTTAAGTATTTGAGTATATCTTTCACCTTATTTTGGTGCCCAAGATATCAGAATGGGTGTATTCAGTCAGTTAAATCACACTCGCCTCTATTAGGTCCCGTGTTGACATATAGAGGGGGTCATCGTGTGGCATGACACAGCGACTCTGCACACTCATATATGCGTTGTGAGGAGGAAAATCAAAGGATTAAGAAACAATGAGTAGAGCAAATTATGAGCCTGCATAAATGGCACAATAGTTTGTGTATCTAAAGGTCATGAATCCAGAAGCACCGGTTTAGAGGATGATTCATATATATAGGCTTGATCCATTTATGATCAGGCGAGTTTGAAATGGGTTTGACTGCTGGTGTAAATCTATCAATGTTTGGATCAATGGTTTGGGTTATAACTTGCCCTAAGTTTTGATCCAATTAATGTAAGAAATAAAACTAATTAGCTGGTCCAAAAACCCAATTTGAGTATAGACATGATCAATTTATGATCGGGCAGCTTAGATCCAAGTTGAGATCAACCAATCTATTTAAGACAGGAATCAATGTAAGATTAATATTATTTGTTTCTTTAGGCAAAAAAGTATTAAAAATGTGGATGCATGTGTTCTATATTAAAAGAGAGAGAAAGAGGGAGAGCACCACACAAGAGCTGATTTAAGTGGGGCCAATACCTCATCCAAAAATTTTAAATGTTTTATATAACATATATCATTGCTTGCATAAATATAATTTCATTTAAATATACAATTTTTGCGCCCCTCCAAAAATTTAGGGTTTAAAGTTACAGACATCTATTGAAAAATATTGATAGTATTTTAAAATAAACAATGTGTGCCCCCGTTAGAAAATAAATCTTGGCTCCGCCACAACCACCACATTGTGTATAATCTTAAAAAACTTTTTAAAAGAAGAGGCCCATATTTGAAACTTCTCATGTATCGAATAACACTCAATGAAAGTGCATTCTTTCTTCAGAAAAAGATAAATAAATGTTTTTGCCAACTCAAACAATATAAGAGGTTGCACTCTCTTTAACGCCTAATAGGCTTACCATAACTACACAAAAAGAAACTATAGAAAATAAAATAATGAAAAACTATCAAGACTCTTCCCTTTTCTTTGTACAGGAGGGGAGATACATATATATTTCCCATAGGCATTATAAAATATTAATAAAACCAAAAATAAGAAAAAAATAAATAGGGTGTCAGATATCCTATAGAAAAACATAGATTATAATATGGTGGTCATAGAGAGACAAGTCTAACAATACAGATTTTCGACCCGTGTGCCTTGAATTTTTCGCTATCCGAGGGTCATAAATAAACAAATACAATGGTACAAAGCCTTGATCCGTGTGTCTTAAATTATTTGCTATAATTGGAGCAAAAATTTAGTACTCCCCCTAAAATTACAAGATAAAGAGTTATCATTCCAAGTTTGGTTTTGATATTTTAAATGTTGAGATGGAGAGCCTTTTGGTGAATATGTTGTACAATTGATTTTCTTTAATATTGTCTCTTATTTACATTAGTTCTTTCATCAAATTATATTTTTTCTTTTGGTTCAATTGCAGTTTCACATGGCTTGTACTTTGTCACCTCAGTCTCTTTCAGTATGTAGATAGACATTTATATTGGAAGAGAAACAAAGAGGATCAATGATTTCCAGTAGCACAGCGTTTCACAGAAATATTATGATCATGAAATCAATTTTTTCCCAAAGAAATAACTTTGAGCTTTGAACTCCAGAGGTAGATACATATTGGATATTTCCCTTTCCCTTTAGAAAAGACTTCACAATTTGGGATCATTTAGGGTATTTTTTTGCGTTCAAATGATAATATGCTTGAAAAACATGAAGTTCTCCTTTGGTATGATTTTCATCATTAGTCATAGTTGATTTTTTTAAGGGAAGTTAAGGAACCCCCGGCATAGTGAATAAAAGGAGAATTCTGTAAAAGCAACAATGTTGGAAATGGAAACTCTAACTTTAGAGAATAATAAAAAGGTTGGAGGTGAAAACCCTAACCTTAGAGAATAAGAATAAAGGCTGAAAATGAAAATTCTAACATTAAAGAATAAGAAGAAATGTTGGAAATGAAAACTCTACCCTTAGATAATAAGAATAAATGTTGGAAATAGCATCCTAACCTGACTCTAACACCATGTAGAAGATAAAACAAAGTATAAACTCTCAAGAGTCTTCCCTTTTCCTTGCACGAGATGGGAGATATATGTACATCTCCCATAGTCATTACAAAATAGGAATAAAACCAAAAAATGAGGAAAAAATAAATGGGGGCCAGCAATCCTTTAGCTCCTACGAATTCAAATATTTATTTACAGCAACTGTGCTCCAAAATCATTACTCACTAATTTCACAAAAATAAATATTTATCAGATTCTCCAAGAGATTTTGTTTTATTTTTGCAAGAAAAGTTTTGGGATCACGAAAAGTTTCAAAGCCATTTCATCTGCTTTTAGATACATGCAATACAAGTTTTAATTGATTTCAATTTTAATGCAATCATCTCAAAATAAACTACTTCTATCTCTCCGTGCAAAGATGCTTCTTTTTTCCATAAGCCAGCTCAAAATACCAACAACAGCTGAAGTCAATATACACACGTCATTGGCTGGAACAAATACATAATAAGCAAATCACAATTTGTTTCAGGCTCTACATTAATCAAACAAACTAAATTGCTTTAAAAAATCGAGTTTGAGCTCCGAAGAGGGAATTTCTCCCCTAGCATCAACGGAGTGCGAGAACACGTACACTTCCAAACATTCCTAAAAAATAATTTCTATAAACAATCTATATATCATGGGCAGACGAGATCCAACTTTTCAACCTAATAAAATCATAACAAACAATATTACAATTCCAAAAAATAAACTATTGTGAGAAAGAAGAAACCCCAATCCCCTACCCGTAAATCTGAGATCAAACAAGCTAAAGTAAGAGAACAAAACTCCCCAGACAGATCCAAAAGCATAAGCAAGCCAATCCCAAAATTTTAAACCCTAGAAGGCCATCCCATTCAGCAGCAGAACACAGACATGCATCTCCAGAACAAACAAAACAACCGGAATCCATACAAACAAATAAAACACAACTTAAATCATATCTCACCGACATCAAACTTGTTCTTTCGCGAATGCAGCGTGGCGCCGATTTGACGAGGAGGAGAATAATTACAAAGAGAAGAAATTGGAACTGAATGATTTATACGGAGATATTCACCAAGCCCCGCAAACGATTTCAGATAAATAAAACATAAGCTGCGCGCTGGGTGGTAGCCGTTAATTGACGATGACGGATACTGATTTGCCTACGGTCACAAGGCTGCATAGTAACGACGGACGACTTTTTAACGGAACATGACGGCGAAACGGTGAGGGCATATTCGGAAAAGTTTGTTGGGTGAGCTGGCAGCAGGGCCCGCCTTTTTGTCTGGTTGGCTAATTTGAGGTCAAAGGTTGAATTTTTCAATTTCAATAGACTTTGATTAAAATTTAGTTTTTAATAAATTTTGAAGGCAACATAGCTTAATGATAATTATGATTGTGTGATAAAATATATATGTTCCGTTCTGAAAATATGTGAGTCATGCCTAGCAAATATAGTAATATAAAGAGAGAGATGATTTATGTGTTAGATCTATAGTATGAACATTAAAAATTAATCTCTTTTCACAATAAATATTTTCTCTATTTATAGAGGATCTAGCATAGCAATAATATGACATTTTTGTCCCCTATATGGGTGGGGTCTATCTTGGGGTGTTTTAAAGGACTTGCGAGCGAATGGTCCATCGTTTGGTTATTTCATTGCTCAATTAGTTTAACCTGATCGGTTTAACTCAGCCGGACATCCTTAGAAAATATTTCTGACGAGATATTTTGACCTTTGTGGAGGTGGTTCTAGTTAGGTTGAAGATATTTGTAGTATGTACTTTTTCATCAGGTCAAATCATTCATGGGATAAATTATATTAGATCGATTTGCTCAGTTGAAAGTTTGAACATCCTTCTGATGAGTTTCTGGAAGAGTCACTTTGTTGATATGACTAGCCATTCAGGGCAATCCACGGACGTGTTATGTTTCGATTGTCTTAGTTTGGTCCGCTCGACGAGTCTGTCGACTTAGCCTGGCGACCCAACATGTCTCACGACCTCTTTGTAGGGGCTCTCTTTATCGTGTTTCTCTTCTGGATCATTGAATTCATGTGAGATCAGTGCTGACACATTATTGATGTGCATATTTTAGTTCATTGATTCTCTTACTCCTTGAATGTGATAGTGCGATGAGGATGAGATAATTTAATGCAAAAAATAAATCATTCAATATTTAATTAATAACTCAGTGATTAGGCTTCGTTGATTTTGGAGCTTCTAATTTATATAAATAGGGTGATGGGTCTTCTCATGCCTACTGTATTATGCGCCCTTCTCTGTTTAGATAACTCTCCTCTTGTTCCTTTGCCTAGTTTTATCATGGGCAATCTCATGAAGTCTGAAGCTGACATTCCAACCAAATATAGGATTTACTGCCAAGGCAAAATGATGGGACCACTTTGAGGACGAGAGGAGAAAGAAAGTTGTAGTGAAGAGAAAGAGGCTTTCTCTGCCATATTAGGTGGAATCATCTCATTTAATCCTAGGCTTATTATTAAAAGAATTTCAGGTGATTGGCCTAATTCCTGATCTGACAATTTAGTTGCAAGCTATGATGCATGACCCTCCTGTCAATTGGACTACTCTAGTGGCTTCTTAGGTTCTTCTACTACGTCCATTAGTGCTCCTCAGTAAGCTTACAATGTTTTAATTGATTGAATTCCTGGGTATTATAGACTTTTGTTCTATTTTTATGACAATAATTCTTCAAGTTTTGGCTTAATATTTTTATCTATATTGCAGTTGCTTTAGGACGGCATGTGTCGTCGGAAAACTAAGGAGTGCAGAACGTACGACAGATGGGAGTGGCTAACTCTTAAACGAGGATGGTGAGGTTGACCTCCCTGACAATTCTCCACTTTCCCCTAAGGTAAGTGAGGTTGTCGAGGGGGTTTGGAATTCATCTTCTGGATGAGATCAATAGCTCCCTCGTTTGGTCAATCAGGATCCAAAGAGATGGTGAGATACATGAGCTATTGAATAGCTTGACGAAGATGAAGGTGACGATGATAACTCTCCGCTATTAGCTCTCGAATATGCAAAAAAAGTCCAGAGTTCTTCAGGTGCAAGCCGAATCAGATCTATTGAATAAGTTTAGGTATTGGAGAGCATTTTTTAATTGGAGTTTGCTTTAGTCGGGGCATGTCTATTGTAAAATAATTCATCTCCTCTAACTAAGTTTAGGGTACTTTTTTGTAATTTGCAAGTGTTGTTCAAGAATAAAGGCATTTTTCTTCCTTGTTTGTCATGTCATTTTGATTTTGTTGGTGAACTTCTATAGAAGCGATTGTCCATTTTTTATTTTATCCTTATGTGATTGTTAACCCTCCTTCATCCCTAGGTTGTGAATTTAGTTTAAGATCATAAGTCACTCAAACATTGATTTGAATTTTGGATCAAAATAAGATCGACTTGAAATAAATGATTTGAGCTATGTGCTGAAACTTTGGACCAAATTTTCTTATAGTAGATTTTGAGCCATACACGGATTGGCTCAAACTGGCTTGAGATCAACTCGAAACATTTTTGTTATTTATAACATGTATATACATATACATAGTGCTAAGCAAAATTGAATATAATAAGGCATGAGCCAATTTTGAGCTAATTTCAAGAAAAATGGATCGAAAAAAACTCAATTAGAGCCAACTCATTTTGATTTTGACGTACTTTCAAGATAGAACATCTTCAAATAGCTCAAATAAAGGCAGTTCATTTTGATTTCAAGCGTGATCGAGCTCGATTCAATTTTAAGATGAGCTGGTTCAAAATCGAACATAACAAACCACAAACTGATTTCTAGCCTCACTCAATCCATTCCAGCTGACTTTGAGTCAACCCAAACTCGGCTTGAAATTTGATAGTTAACAAATCATATTCATCCCTATATATAAAACAATTGAGATATAGAGGACACACTTTGTCTATTTTTTCGTGTCTCTCACTCCCTCGAATTTTTGTGTTTCGCTTTAGCGATCACTCGATGGGACATAAGTGTTCTCTAGAGAGTTTTGGGTCTCAAAACCAGGATAATCGGTCGTGGTTGACTCAAGGGGAGTTGACTCCTTACAGCGAAATCATGTTTTTGAATACTCTATCTGACTCAGGGTCGCCAATGAGGCAGATCGAGTAACCTCACTTCACAAAGATAATCTCTTATTCTATAAGGGTCAATTTCGACTCGAGCTCCGCCCTCCATTATGTAACTAGTTATGCTCTATCTTCACCAACTATGGAGTCAACATGTTGTAGATGTTGACAAACTCGATTGAATTCATAATAACCTTTGTCATATTCTCTTGTTTGCAAGGGATCCCTTGGTAATTTTAATTATTCAATCATTAGTTATCTTTTTGGGTTAACCTGGATGAGTTTGTACAATTTCATTGGTTGACAAATTCTAGTTGTTAGGGCTGGATAATAAATTTAAGGATTGAAAACAACATTTATTGTTAGCTTCCTCTCTGAACGGTTGGTTGATACACCTAAAATATATAGTGTTTTTAGACACATTTTAGCGCTTTAATGTTTTTTAGATATTGCGCTTTAATGGAAGGTATTTTTGTGTTTTTCTTGCATATACAAATAAAAATGTGAAAATTGCTTAAAGGAGTTAAAAAGATCAAATTTGGAGCAAAAAGTGAAAAATGTGCAAGTGAGTTTTGGCGCCTAAGCGCCAGATCCAGCGCTTAAGCGCCGGTTAAATAGAGAAGGCTGCGCCTAAGCGCCAGAGGTCTCACGCTTAAGCGCCAGTGGCAGTTACTAGACCAGTAAAGTCTGTTTCTGTGAATTTTGAAGAGGTTTTTGAGGCACTCATTTGCTTAATAGGTAGTTATAACCACTATGGACTAAAATTATCACGAAAGAATGCATATCTTTGGGAAATACATCGAATTGGGACACATTTTGAAGAGTTTTCAAAGCACCCCTTGGAAAACAATAAAAGAAAGAAGAGAGGACTTTGAAAAGAGTCCTGAAAATACTTGGAAAGTTTTGAAAGTTCATCAAATTGGAGAGTTAGTTGGAGAGATTGGAGAGATTTTCAGGCACTTTACTTTTATTTTATCCTTTTTGTTAGTTTATTTTGAGTGATTGTAAAGAGAAGAAATTCAAATGAACTTCAAGAGTTTGGTGGAGAACTTGAGATAAGTTTTTATCTTTTGGCTTTGAGACTACTTTTGGTTTTAATTGAGACTTGTTGTTGGTTTGACAATGATTTCTACTTTTAAACTAAAGTGTGATTTTATTTTCTCCATAGATTCTGAGTAGTTTTCCTTACATTTCTTCTTAAAATGATAAGTAATTAAGTTTGTATGGAAATTGTGGAGAGTATAGATCTTTAATGTTGGAAGAAGTTGTGATGATTTAAATCCATGCACTTCATTTACTTCTTGATTTGGCCAATCCAGATGTTAAAATTTGTTATGAGAACATGTAAGAACTGGGTTAGTATTGTCTCAGTCAATATTTGGAAAGAATCACATGAGGTTGTATGAATGAGAATGAAATTCATATGATTTACTGCAATAAATAAGAAAATATTCTTTGAAGGGTGTAGAGTTAGAGGACTTTAAAGTGATAGGTTAAAGCCCCCAAATTGGTTTATTGTTTTAGGTTCTGATATGAGAAGGAAATCGAGCGAACTCTAGAGTGAGAGCTAATATCTTCCCTGCCTAGCCGGTCTTTAGAACTATTCAAACGTTAAATTAGCCAATGTTCTTTATAACAACTCTAGTAAAGGTAAAAAATATTGTTTCTCCTATTTGACACAGCACAATTTGTATACTTCCACAACATAATTTCTATACTTATTACTGATTCATGATAAGAAGAAATATATTTTTCTTATTAAGTGTTTTTCATCTACAAAACTCTAGTTATCTTTTTAAGTT